CAGGATCACAACTAGGGATGGGCAAATAGCCAATTTTTCAAATTTCTGTGCAGGCTGCGCAGCTTGCACACCTTAATGATCTCGGGATCCAGTGATTCGATTTGGGCGATCTTGGGCTCGTTGGAATCGTCTTGTCGAGATGAGCATTTTGATAGCTAAATCAACCAAATTGGATCACTGGATCAAGTTATTTGTTGTTAAAGATAGTGACCCGAAAAATTCCGTCTATAATTTTACTTCCGATTTTTTCCGCCTGCGCAGTTTCCCATCCTTAATCACAACTATTATTGTCATATTTCAATCCAAAATTTAAGATTCATTACATTCTTTCCTAGCTATTTGCATGGTACGTTGATTCCAAAAACTTCGTAGAAGTCATCGGCCCGCTTTATGCGAGATTACTTGCATTCCCAATGCAATATTTTATTCCAAAGCAGTTACGTAACTATGCCAAAGAGAGGCTGGCAAGACACGGTATCAAAAGCGTTGGCGATACTGGATATATTTTGGATAAGAACAAAAAGGTTTATTATATGACAATATAACATATATGCATTTGATTATTTGGTACTTGAATTGAATAACGTTCAGTATTATTCATAATTTCATTTTAAATTAAGATTTTTTGTACACGTATTTCAGATCAATAAAATTGTATATGAATCGTATGATATGCTGCAGAAGAAACTAGGAACAAATGAGTTTTTTGTTGGAGATCAGTGAGTAATGGGAAATCTGGTTTTTTGTTATCATTGGAATCAACTAATCTTGAAATTTCTTACAATCAGACCATCTTCCTTGGATGCTATTGTATATGGTTATTTAGCCCTTCATATATACCCAGAACTTCCCAATTCGGAGTTGTCTACTATTCTTAATACAGAATATCCACGACTCGCCCGATTCTGTGAACGAATGAAAGTTCAACTTTCCTCACGGCCTATTAGTCAATTAGAAGATACCAATCTCCCATCTTTTTTTTCAGATCTTTTCAGTTCTCCTCTCACATGGTTTAGTCGTAACATTTGGAGATCTAAAATTGAGGAAATAAAAAAAGAAAAGTCTGAAGCTCAAATCACATTTGAACGAAAGAGGAATTTATCGATATTTGGGGCAATTTGTTTTGTGGTCGGTTATGTAACTTGGAATGGAATTATCAGTATCGAAATTGTTGATAAGGAGGAAAACGAAGAATATACTGATTCTG